ACAGAGACCCATGGAGTGAGAAAGTAGAACAGGAGCCTCATTGTGACACTATGCTGGAAATGAATTCACTTTAAAGGGAGTCCAGCTTGGGATCTATCTAAAGGTTTCAGTTCCTGAACTACCAACATGCCTTGTTTAGTGGTGGCCTGGATCCTGAATGTAATATGTATTGTCTTGGGTTTACTAATCTCATTCTCAAATTCCCCAATGCCCATTCTCGTCTAGACTTTCCTCCTGCATATCTGCCCCTCATTTCCCTTCCCACTTCCCCCTTACTGCTCATCAAAATGGATTTGAGCTTTGAGACACCCAAAAGTGGCTTTGGAGCTCTAAAAATAACAGATTATACCAGAACAACTACTTCCGGATATTAAATTAGGGTGTTGTCAGTATCCAAAAAATGCATCAGGGGGAATGGGTAGGAGTTGGTGGATAGCACTGAGCTTGATCCTTAAAGACATTGAAATAAAGGAAAGAAAAAAGGTTGCTATGAAAGGTCATTTAATGTGTTTCAGTGTCCTTATTTTTCTCCTTCAGGAAGCTATATGCAGAATTTTTGAATCAGTATAGGTTTCATTTTTAAAAAGTGAAAACTCTCTGCTTTCATGGAACTACAAGAGCAGCTTTAAATATCAATGTTCCTGTTCTGCTCTCCTAAGTCAATTTTTTCCCCAACACTCAAGTTTAAGGAAAAGGGCAGATTTCAATCTTCATTTGAAAAAAAGAAAAGAGTTGATAGGAAGTTCTACAATGTTTCAGGCCACTGAAAATATTCACGAGAAGTTTTCTAAAAAGCAAGGACAAAGGGAATTTTAAGAAGATGCTTTCAAATTGGCTGATATTCTTTGCTTTAGTTATACATTTTGTTTATATAAAGCATCCACCTTTTTCTGGAAAGCACTCTTCTGGCAATTGATCAAATCATACTTCTCCACACATCTGGTTATATCTGATAGTTCCAGAGAGGGTATCTGACCCAAGCTAGGTCAATCAGAACTTGTGAACTCTTGGACAGCAGAGAGAAAACCTCAAGTGTCACTTTAGAGGCAGACTTGGGGATCTGGGCGCTGCCAGCACTTGTTTTTGATGTGTGGAGACTGGTTCCACAGAGCCAACAGCCAGAGACGGCGAGTCTTGGGATTGTACCACTCCAGGGGCCCATTCATCTCGAGGCATACGGTGGAGACTGGCACTGACTTCACTGGTTGAGTCCTGGACATTCAGCTCTAGGTATTTTTCATGTTTCTCATTTAATCCTGAAAATCCCATGAGATAAATACCATTAGGTTCTCCCAGCTTTACAGAGAATTCTGAGGCATAGCTTGAAGGCTAAGAAACTCCAATAGCTGAGCTGGGGTTCAAACCCATGGGGTCAGACTCTAGAACCAGTGCTGTGAATCACATTATTCTTTGGTCTCTAGGCCAGTGAGCAATTTCCCTTATCAAAGCAAGTTTGAGTTGGGTATCTTGCACTTTCAGCCAAATTATGTAATATGTATGCATTGTAGGTATACTAAGTAATACACTAATCAAAGTAATCAAAGGAATACGTGCAAGTATGTCCAAAGCCACTTTATCTTTCTCCTCCAACTTGTTTCCCTTCCCTTTCTCACTACATGACATTTTCATCCACGCAAGATGAAATGAAATCTTGGGAGTCACTCTGGATCCCTTTCTTCCCAACCTCGCATCACCTCATCTTATATCCCAAACCACTTTATTCTACAAACACATACCTGGCAGTTAAAAGGGACAAAACCTGATCTTCCAATCAGTCCCCTTCTCTTTATTCCCACAACTAATGCCCTAATTCATACAAATGGCCTTAACCTTCTTTAACCTTTTTGTGCCCTAGTATCTTCACCTGTAAAATGGGGCCAATCATACCTACCCCACATAGGGCATTTGAGGAAAATAAAAGTGTGAAAAACACTTAGCACAGTATTCAACAACTGTTGGGTATTTCTTTTAGGAACTAAACTCTTATATGTGCTCATGGACATTTTAATTGCTTTTATAGCAAAAACATGAACTGTAATGAAAAATAGTCTTCAGATGAATACAATTTCGTATTTTTGCACTTCTCCAGGTGACTTTTCAACATAAATTCTTAGCACACACACACAAAACCTCACCCCCGCAAAACCCAAAAACCTTCAATCCCCTCAATTATTCTCTATTAGCAGATCCATTAGGGATTGCCCTGTATCTGAAAAGTATAGCACATTATGTACTACATTCAGAATCAACTTCCTTGATTTTATCAAGTCAACTTTAAGAGCTTGAAGTTAAAATATCTCTTGTTCAGTGAATATTCAAAGGTACACATTCATTTATTCATCAGAACTAACAGTTGATGTATCTTACAGATTACATACAAATACACATATTATTCATATTCCACTTCATATGAGATTCTTTTGCTTGATACACGATTTTGGCTTAATAAAACATAAAAATAATGCATACTGTAAGAATCAAATATAATTTAAGACAGCCATTCAGCCCTGTTAAAACACACACACACACACACACACACACACACAGGAATTTTAAAGTAAAATTAAGCACTTCTCTTCATTAGCCTTCTAGGGAAATGTAGCCAACATAAGCCTATGGGTGGGGTGTTTAAGACAAAACAAACCTGAGTTGTTCTTTGTGAGACGGAAAAGGAAAATATAATAAAGCCCAGACTCATGATTTCCTTACATTTTTCTTCCCAACATATATCTTCATTGCCTAGTTAATTAAGGTTCAAACTTGAAAGAACAGGAAGACAGTATACTAACAGTTACCCCAAAGGAATACTTCCCCTTACCGATTTTCTTACCTTTCACTACCAACCATGTGGTTTACTACATTAATACCTAAGTGTATCAAGTATCAGGTCTTGTTAGAACCAAGAACCAGATTTCTGGCTTATAAACAAGAGATATATAATTTGTTTTCAAACACAAAAGCAAAGCACAGGGAAGGGAAAGAGTAGTGAGGAATCACGTTATTAAAACTTCAGAGGTTTTAAAAGTAGCTATTGGTAATGGTAATAAACTGCAGGTCAAAGTGTTCCCTTCTGTTCTCAATGGTATTAAAAACTCAGGGATCTTGCCACACCAATCAATACTTGTCCAGGTATCTGAACAGATTTCAAGCCCTTTATGAGAAAAAAAACTTGTTTTAAATGCTGACCAACAGTTTTGTAGTGGCATATGGTTTTCTTTGATCCATAGGATTAGGCAAACTTTGTTACCCACACATCTCACTTCCTCAGTGGTATTTCTGTCCATCTTGGGGTAAAAAAAAAAAAAAAAAATCAGAAACCTTCATCACAATATCTAACAAAATCTGATTAGAGACTACTATAAAAATGACAGTGAAAATAAGGAAAATTTAAAAGACTATCCATACAACTTCAACTTCAGGATGGGAGAAATATTTTTAAACATGACAGAAAATCCAGAAGATGTAAAAACTGACAAGAGTTGACCACAAAAAAATTTTTAAAAAGGTGCAATCAATAAATCATGTCAAAAAATAGACAATGGGAAAAAATATTTGCAACACAAAAAACTTAGGTGTCAATATTCTCACTACAAAAAGCACCACCAATTAAAAATTTTTGTAAAATTGGCAATTTATAGATAAGGAAATGGAAATAGTCATTAAGCATTAAAAGAATGCTCAAAAAAGATAACAGACATGCCAAATTAAAACACAAAACCATCGGACTGGCTAAAAAAGAAAAATCAGTATTATTTATTTATTTAAAGGATTTTATTTGACAGAGCAAGACACAGCGAGAAAGGGAACACAAGCAGGGGGAGTGGGAGAGGGAGAAGCAGGCTTCCCATGAAGCAGGGAGGCAGATGTGGGGCTCGATCCCAGGACCCTGGGATCATGACCTGAGCCGAAGGCAGATGCTTAACAACTGAGCCACCCAGGCTCCCCTTTAAGATCAGTGTTATTAATTTATAGTACAAGTGGAGATATAGGATAATGGTGACTACTGGGGAGAGTAAATCACTGCAAGCTTGACTTCAGTAGTACATGGGAATCTGTATGTACTTAAGTGTTACTACACATTATATGTTAAGAACATTCACTACATTAATAGTAAAAAATGACAACCTAACCTGCTTACAGCAGTTGGTTAAGTTGGGGAACCATTAATACAGCAGCTGGCTGTGCTACTGAAAAGAAGACAAGGGAACAGATTTTGCCATTAGAGTCTCGAGAAGGAATCAGCCCTGCTGATACCTTTTCAGGTCAGTGAGACAAATTAGAGTTCTGACCTCCAGAGCTGATAATAAAATTTATGTTGTTTTAAGCCATTAAGCTTGATGCAATTTTTTACAGCACCAATAAGAAACATACAACATAATAATAAGGGGTAATAAAAGTAGTATGTGGACAATACTGTTTCCAGAAATGCCCTTACTAAAGTTTAATGTGGAGGCCATCAACTTCTGGTATCAACAGGGAGTTTGGTACCACCTATGAACCCATTGTTGAGAGCAGTGCTAGGTACATAAAGAGGTAAGTAATAAATAGCTTAGTATAGATAGGAATTAAAAAAATTTTTTTAATTGAGGTACAAATTGACACATAACCTATCAGTTTCAGGTATACAACACGATTAAATATTTATATATATTGCAAAATGATTTCCTTTTCTCTGTATGGATTTTGAAAATTAGTAGAAACGTGTCTATTACAACAGAATCAGTCCTACCATGACTGTTTTTCAGACAGCAGTTTCAACAAACTAGATTCTAAGTATCAAAATTTCATTTTAATGAAGCAGATTCCTCTTAGGCATCCCAAGAAACCAATTTTCAATTTTGTGGAAATATATATTCTAGTAAGTTTGAAACTCCTCAGCTCAAAAGATCAAAAACATGTACTCTAATGCTTTAATGTTATTTACAAACATGAAGAGGATTCTAAGGTTGTGTTCCTACTCCCACTAGAAAGACAATCAGATAAAAAAAAGTCTAATCACATAAAGGAATATAAAACTATTTATTGACCACTGTTTACCAGTATTTACAATAAAGTAAACAATATACAGTTGGATAACATTCTGACTACAAAGTTACTGTTTTTCCTGGTTTCTGCTGAACCAGTAACTCAAATACTGAGAAGACTGAGCCTACATGTCAGGAACGAGTTGGGGTAAAGAAAATACATGCAGGTTAAGAATTTGGATTATACAAGTCTGTTCACCCATTTATTCCAACAGGTGCTAAATTGCCAACATCTCTAACCATCTGATTATGATTAGGTTTCCATGAACAAAGTCTTAGACATTCCATGAATCATGACCTTTTAGTCAATACAGCACAGAGATTTCAACTTCTTGAAAAGGAATGGTTCACTAGAAGGAACCTTTAAATGTCCATTTAACTAAGTTTTGCTTACCTAATTAAAACACACCAGGACTTGTCTAGTTTTGTCATTTGGGTGGGGAGGTTGTTGGTGGTGATAAAATTTTCCTTTCAGGGATCTTGCAAATGAACTTGCATTTATGACTGTAGATATGAATACGGATTCTGATATGGCTGCTTTTAAATTGTCCAATTTAAAAATCTGAAAGGTTAAGGCTTCAGGAAAAACTTCAGTTTAACTTTAAGTGATTTATTTCTTAAGTTGCTGAAAATGATAGCATCCCGGAAACACGGGCTTATCCATGGTTATAAATGCTGTTTTTGTTTTGGTGAATGTTAAAAAACAAAAACCATTTATGTATGTATTTTAAGTATACACACAAAAACCCCCTAAATAAAAAATCCAGAATGGTCCTTAGGCATATAGGAGTTAAACACAAATTCTGACTGAGTAACGACTATGAAGATTTCCCCCAACATTTAGAAAAGGTGTTCTCTAATGCAGGGGGATAATATACCATGGTCTCAAATACTTTTTTTCTGATAAAGGAAGCAACTACAGAAAGCTTTTATTTGTTCAAAGTAACCAGTGCTATAGATGCAAAAAAACCCCAACAACTCCCCCAATACTACTTCAAAACAAACATATCGAACTTGATTTTCATTAGAATGTTATTTCTTCACACTAATAAATCAAAAAACAAAGACCCGGATTTTATATATATATATAAATATATATAAAAAACAATGCAAACAATTATTGAGCTTCATCTTCTGGACAAGAATGCCAAGTTAGTCTCTCTTCATAAAAAGCAATTACAATCTGAGGACACTTCATATTTGCCTCTTTTGCCAGCACCAAGTCTGCCTCATCTGAATCTTTCCTGTTGTGAGGAAAAAAAAGTTCAGTCAAAAGTCTCCACTGTTTTTGCTAACTGATAATCTTTCACTTAAATCATAATTCAATCAAAAGGTATTTAAGTGCTTCAGAAGCAGATACTCGTGGCTGTGTTCTGGTAACACTACATTTTCCAAAACAGGCTAATCTTTGCTTTAAAACACCATTAGCAAAAAAAACCAAACCAAACCAAAAACCCCCAAGCAACAAAAATCCTAGAATCATCCTTTCAGCAGATACTATCTAATGATGAAAACTATAAAACCTTTTCTAGATAAGGCTTCACAAATAAAAAAAAAAATCTCTTACTTTAAAATATCATAGCGATCATCTGCACACTCACCACTTCATGAGAAACATTAATTCTCCACTGCTGTCCGTGGCACCAATTATTCGTTCAGGATCAAGACCTCTGGCAAAGCCTCTTGGTTTATCAGCCTGATTAAAAGATGTTAAATGACTCTTTACATAAATGTTTCACCGACTTTCCATATTGCAAACTAATAATACTAACTTCCAATTTGTTTTCATGAAATATAGCTTTCAAATGAAAAAAATGACAGGAGAAAGAACTCTTATTTAGTACTAAAACACACTGTAATTTCCATTAACCTTCCAAGAAAAAATAAATCCAGGTATCTAATAAAAGTATTCTGAATCTCAAGGCAAGAAAATAAATACCTTTCTTTATCCTAACACATCCGAAGACAGAACTATGTAGGCACACAAATTAATCCCTTTATTTCTGCTAACTCATAAATAATTATAAATTCTTTAAAGTTAGTATTTCAAGTCACTTTTAGGAATTAGTCTAAATTACCCACCAATTTTTAAAGCACACACAAAATACAAATAGCCAAACAGTAAAAACTTTAAAACTCAGACTAATCAGTATTGTAATCGATCTGTGTTATAGGAAACCTTAAAAAATACTTAACATAAACCCATGGTTCTAAAAGTGTGGTCTGAGGATCCCTGGAGATCCCTGAGACCTTTAGTGGGTATCTGTTTATCTGCAAGGTCCCCTCCTTTCATTTATCTTTGACTTCAGAGTATCTTCATATGCCTCTACCAAACAACATTAAGACAGCAAATCAAATGCAGAATGTCTTAAGCTAGACACTGAAAAGATGTGCAAAACTGTAAAATGCCAATTCTCATTTAAAGTTATTTTTCATAAGTTATGAACATGCAATAGGTTTTGTCATTCTTAACTGAATACACAAATATTTTAAAACTTTGTTTTAATTTCTGATATAGTTAGAATTGATGATCATAACACATATAAATAAAAGTTCTCCGAGATTCTCAATATTCTAGAGTATTAAAGAGGTTCTGAGACCAAGAGTTTGAGAACTGCTTAGATTAAGAAATCCCTTCTCCCTACCGGACTTTCATATCAATATCCCAGGTTCTGGAGTCAGATTACCTGGGTTAGTTAGAATGACGACTCTAACCTTTACTAACTGTGTGGCTTTGGGCAAGTTAACCTCTGTAGTTCAGGTTCAATAAAACAAGACTACTACTACTGTCTCATGGACACTTTGTAGTATAAGAAATGCAAATTAAGTTATGTAGAACACTGCTGGGCACATTCTAAGAGCTCAGTGTAGGGTAACTACTGTTATTAAACAGTGCTTCTGTTGAATATATGGTTGACTTTCAATTAATGCATATGGATTCTTAACACTGTTACCTTTTTGCTTTGGCTGCTAAAGCATCCAGAACCAAATTTGTAGTCAACCTCTGCTTCTCATCTGGAAAATGGGGATAATACCTATAATCTTAGCAGACCTGCCATGAAGATTTAACAGGTTATCTGTAAACTACTTGGCATCTAATTCAGATGATCAAATTTTAAATCCAAAGACCTTATCAATGTTAGTTCCCAAGCCTAAATGCTAATTCAGAATCAGGACCTTTTCCCAAATTGCCAGCAGGCATGGTAAATAGGACAATCTGTTTTGGAGTTGAAGGTATAAGCAAGTAGTTGTATGTTTTGCCCAAAGCCACGGAAAGCCACGGCAGACACACTAGTGAAGCGAAGACTGGGTCAAAATACCCATGTAGTTAATGAACCAGCTGTCTCAATTCACACCAAAAAATATAAAAAAACCTCTATTACCAAAGATTATATGCTTCAAAATCAAAATGTTGCTTAGCAATATTCTGACAAAACAAAGATCACGTCAAAGTACATTCTGGTGGTCAGTGCCACTAACGGTCTATAATCAGGATGTGCTATGTGGATTGTTTTTACTGTATTGTAAGGGATTGCAATGATCTAATCTTTGTGTTCACTGTATTCAAGACTGCCAGTCCTGGATCACAGGAAATGGATTTTATCAGGGATCAAATCCACGAATCTACTCAAAATAACACTAGCACCACCATGTAAGTGGTATAAGCACTTATTACTGAACATTTATATGATGCAGGCTAAATCATGCCTATCCTTTTTGTCCTGAATATTAAGCATTATAAAGTATTCAAATTCTTAAAAGTATCTTAAATGTATTTTAAAAATCAAGCCATCAACCTTTTACCAAGTCAGTATGCTGGGCAATATTTTATACTTACAGCATCTCTTTTTTTCTTTGATTTGCTATCATCAGATTCACTGTCAGATAACGATTTTCTTTTTGTACCATCTTTTTCTTTACCAGCTTTTTGAGAATTAAGAAATGCTTCAATTAACTCTGGACAATCTAAATTTTCTTCAGGTTCCCAAGTATTGTCAGCACTGGGTTCGGTTAAAAAAAAAAATCAATTAAATATGATTCATGACCATTATCTACATTTATTTAACATATATCTAAAAAAAGATCTGCTGTACTGCAGATGCTTACCTTTTTCTCCCTATCCCCATTTCTTTTGATAAAATCAGCTTATACTTCCTGTGTCTATTTTCTTAGCCTCTAGTAAGTGGGCAGTCTGCTATATGACCTACAAGTTAACTATACCTGCTCTAGCAGAATAATTGGAACTAATTATTTTCCCAAGTTACACAGACAACCCACTTCAGAATTTCTCTGCAAAGGCTTTAAAAATGGACTCCCTATTCCCACCCCAAATTACTTTATCAGATCAGTCAGACTATGTCTCTAGTTGGGACCTTCAACACCATGTTTGAAAACACAAAAATTCTAAGGCATTCTATATGTGAGGCCGTATTTTCAACTTCTGCTGGGTGCTCAAATTGGGCAATGATAAAAAGCAGGGGTTGGCAACCCAAAGGTCAAACCCAGCTTTTGTATGTTGGGCCAACTAAAAATGTTTTTCACATTTTTAATTGGGAAAAAATTTCAAAATGACAATTATAGGAAATCAGGGCCCATTTGTTAGAACACAGCCATGCTCCCTTGTTTAACGTAGTGTCCACGGCTGCTTTTGTACTGTATTTGCAAAGCTGAATAATTGTGAGAGGTCTACAGCCCACAAAGCCTAAAGTATTTATTTACTACATGATTCTTTAAGGGAAAAGTTTAGCAATCCCTGATATGCCAAATGCCAAATGCCATGCCAAAATGACTATTTTCACGTGTTTTTCAGAAGGACTGGAAAGAAAACGAGTATCAATTACCAAACGTGAATGTTAGATAATCCTACACTAGTGATACGCTTGCTAACTTTTTTTTTAAGACTCTACGCTCAACACGGAGCACGAACTCACGACCCCCAAGATCAAAGAACTGCATGCTTTACTGAGCCAGCCAGGTGCCCTGTAAGCTTGCTAACTTTGTGCACTCTGATCCAAAAAGCCTTTAAAGAACAAGATAGAATGAAATTAATTTTAGAGATGATGGAAAAGAAAGGTAGTACTGTTTACAACTTGGGTCTTCTGATATGCTGAAATGCTAAAACTGGCCAACGTGAATCAGAGGATAGAGGAGAACAAAAGAGTTGAAGCAGAGCCTCCATTTTGTAGTGTTACTTTAATTACAGACTTCTGTATTACCTAATACATACTGCACATGGTAGGTTCTCAGCCATACTAATGGCCTTAAGTTTGAGAGAAAGAGGGAGAAAAGGTGTTAAGTCTCTTAACATTTTGATTGGCTGGACAGAGACAAACAGCATTTAATGTCTCATGAGATTCCAAAACAAACAACAAAAAACCTATCACATGAAAGTGATCAATTCTTTGGCATACTGGTTACACCTAGCTTTAAAATAGTTCAGACTTATTTTGCTTTGTTCTGCTATCTGTAGGAAATTTTTCTAGTGCCAAATTATGAACTTATACTATATACTTAAGCTCAACTAAGGACACTAGAAGGATAAAATAACCTTAAATCTTCCACTTAACTTTAATTCCCAAATTGCTATAGTGGGGCAAGTAGTAGGTAACAGATATTCCGAAGCCTAATTATTTGACTAGCACACTCCCCCATCTCCACCAAGCTCAGAAAACCGTTGTCTATCTCTACCTATCCATTTTCAGTAAGTCACTGACCACAGAGCCTTGCTGTTTTTGTGGTATAAGGCAGATTTAGCACATGATAAATGTTAAGTATAAGACTGGAATTTCTGCATGAGTTATTTGCAATACAGCTAACATTATAAAAATTATGAGAACAATTAGTAACAAGGAACATAAAGAACTAAGGAGCTTAAAAAATGCCCATGCCACTTCTTAAGAGATTAGGATACAGTAAACCTAGTGCATCGTAGAAGTCCTGGATGATAAGCACTTCTGTTCAACACCCACCAGTCTAGCTTATATAGCTTCAATATTTTTAGTGTTCTCTCTATGTAAGAAAACAATGTCAATTAGATACTCTAATTAGTACATATCTAACCACATTAAAATGCATTACATAGTAAACTGTACTCCTATAAATTTGACTCTCCAAGTCAACTAATTTCAAATGTGCTTGGTTACAACTGTAGGATAAGGACAGGACCCTTTCAAACAGATCTCAAAGTACCCTGGAATAAAGGTGTCTTTAAATGAAAAGAAATGTATGGGGAAAAGGATTTTAAAAACCCCAGACTAAAAGCAAATTTTAAATGTCACTTAGGTGCAGTTAAACATATAAGAGAAGCACCAGATTCCTTACTCTGTAAATCCCTTCCACTTCAGGAAATACTCCACCTTCCCATTCACTACACGTCGGTCCAGTACTTTTTCCACCACAAATTCTTCAGGCTCTGCCTCTTCTACTTTTTTACTCTTTCCATTTTGTTTCTTTCCCATTTTTTGCTAAAATAAAACAAAAGAGAGATTTAAGAAACTTTTCTTTTTTCACTTTTGCATACATTTTAAAGGCTAAATTATTTACATTATTGTTGCATCTGACACCTATATTTTTACTTCTACATCCCAGGGCAGACACGTTCTGAAAAGATACAAGTCAACAGATAATCAAAAAGAATACTTAATTCCACTTTAGCTCAAACCTATTACCCACCCCCTTCCGGTGAAATAATACAATCAAAAACACTATCTGGAAAATACTCTTTTATCTTTTCCAAATCTAATGTCTTACCCAGTCTATAAGACCAAGTTTACTAGAGTTTGCATTCATTTTAACTACAATACAGCAACAAACTAAAAAGTATTAGATGATACAAAGAGAGTAAATACTGAGAACTTATTAAGTGAACCATAGTCCCATTTAAAAACTACAGCCCCCAAACACTAACAACCCTCTTTCTCAATATAAACACCAATGTTAAAAGTCTCAATTATACAGAAAGAGATAAGTGCAGAATGAAAACATGGTTCAGAATCCCGAGATCAATTGTAGAGTCAACTAAGACCATGAATAGGTTAAAAAGGACACTATTATAGTTCCATAATTTCTGTATATAGTATTACAGATCATACAGAACAGAGTTATGTTGTCACTTGAAGAGGCCAAAATAATTCTCTAATGCGAAAATCCTTCTTTCTTGGTTTCTCAAGTGTTAAAATGGTAGCCAACGAAACCCACCTTAAACAAATTTTTAGGTTAGTTTTTTCTTTTTTGTATTGATACTATGAGAAAAGCCAAAAGACCAAACTAAAACCACTATTTTCCAATAACTCATGTTATGAGGACTGAAAGCAGATAAAACAAAAAACTGAAATGGTTAATTAGAAGAGACGAAGCGGGGAAAATCTCAAATGTTAATTTTAAAATAATTTCAGTGGTGCTATAAAAAAAAAAAACTTAATTGCCTAGTCATTAAAGTCACCTCTCCACATAGCATACAAGAGGAAAAACAGCAGTGCCTCAAGCTTGCAAAAGGATGTTAAAATTAAAATTATGTAATTATTTAGAGGTGTACACACATATAAAACATAAAAATCCTCTGGAATTTAAAATAACCCAGCAAATGTCTGCTTTTGTTGGATACTATCTCCAAATCAGGCCTTACAATTTTTTTTTCTTCTTATAATTTTCATTAGTCAAGACACTTGGGTATTGCAATCAGTCGGAGAGCTTTTTGCTTCTGTACAGTACAAGGAATGGTAGCAAGAGAAAAGAAAAACTGTTGTAAATAAAAGCCTATTCGATACTGATGCTGAATGATAAATCAGCTATGTTCATGAAAGTAAGAGATTAACAGAATAAAGAGGGTAACAAAAATAAACAAAGTGAAAAGAATAAACAATAATAAGATGAAAAAAAAACCTTAGCACAAAAAATGAAGTATTTACTATGGCACTCACAAGCTGGTTACAAGTGTTCACCTTTTTCTTTTCAAAAGAAAACTCACCCACTTTCCCACCTAAACTAACAAACCTCATCTCTTAAAATTAAGATTAAGAAAAACTTTCAAAGTTGTCAATTTATGATCCTTTAACAAAGGGTAAGATATTTTAAGTATCAGTTAGTTATGGACACCGAAGACTCTCAAAACTGTGTGCCAAAGCAACAGAAGCATCTATGTTTGCTTCCTGTATCTCTATTCATCTTCAAAGCCCCAGGGACAGCTAGTTCCTTTTCTTTCTAATACCTGAAGGTCACAGGTAACCATACAGTCAATTCAGTTATCTACACTTTGGTCTACCACTTACAGAATTTGAAGGACACTTCAGTCCTGAGGGGCCACAGAAGATGCTTTGTGTTTTTTCCATTGATGGTTTTGATGGGAATCATTTGTGCCACAGAATTTGTATTTATTTCACCGTTTCCGAGAGTATTTGAGTGAAACATGCAACCTCTTGATGGCAAAAATTAAAAACCAAACCTGCCTTTTTAGTGTGAAACCCAAGGGGAGAATATACAAACCAAAAACCAAATGTTTTGCTTTATTCAGATGTTAACACTGACCTTTAAAATGATTGCAATTATTGATGAAATGTGTTAGAATTACTGTGAGAACCATTAACTTTGAATTTCACGATTTTTATGTGACTATTTCAGTGTTTTCAAAAAATCTGTAACTTGATACGGCTGAAGACATGTATGTCTTTACACATTCAAAGAACTTTTAATGAAGTTTAAGAATGCAAACTTGGGGTTTAAGAAAGTGTAGAGGAAAAATGTAATTGCTCGCAAGATGCAGATCTACTCTTCTGTCCTTCCTGGACATATATATGATTTTATTTGGTATTAAAAAAAATGGCAATGACTTGAATTTAAGGCCTTTACGTATTTTACAATAATCAAGTTCGAAATAGGACAACATGAGCAAAGTAACTGAATGACCTTTGTCCCAATCCAGGTTCTTTAAACTTAACAATACTGAAAATACCTGGATTCTCTAGAATTCGTTACAGGGTGACTTAGGGACTGTTATGCCAATGAGCAAGGGCTTTACAGCATTGTCTGTTTATGCTTGTAAAAATTCTTCCATGTTGCAAGTTTATTTTTATTTCAAGATAAAAATACTCTGTAAAATTCATTGTGTTACCCTCCCAAGACTAGGTTTCTCTAAATGGATTAAAACACTACTCAGCTAAGTCAGTAAGTACCGCAATGTAATGATTTCGTTTTTGCCTCTAATTCTCCCCATTACAACACTGCAGGGGGGGGGGGGAGGAGAGGGGACTGGGAAATACATGTGGATGTAAATATCTCAACCACAGAGATGCAAACTTGTAATTTTGGGGAAAAAAATTTGAGTTAGATCCTTACATATTTTAGGTTTTCATTAACTTACCAATGTAGTTTTATTGGAGGCCATTTTTTATTGCAGACTTGAAGAGCTATTACTAGAAAAATGCATGACAGTTAAAAAGTAGTTTGCACGACACAAAAAGGTAGCTAAACACAAGTTCTGTTTGGATTCCAACCCCCACTACGTATCGTATATTGTAAAACTCGTACTCAAATCCAGAGATACAGATTTGAGATTCTGCGTTATTAGTTATCTATGTTTGCTGAGAACATCAGTGCTCTAACCAAGTGGGTCTAGAAAACCTTACTGGGTAGGCTGGTATCTGAGGCAGTTTTACAAAAGAAAAAATAGTAAATTTTTTTTTTCAATATATAAGTCCCGTTTATGTCATACCCAGCATTTTTAAGAAAATGGCCAGGTAATTTGGTTCGAATTCGACGTGATCACCCAATCACAACGGTAAATTACCGTGAATTTCCCCTCTAGACCTTTTAACAGTCCAAAGAGGCGCCTAACCCCAACTTGGTTTCTTGGAAACCCTCCCCCTTTCTAATCACTAGTTTAAAAACTGAAAAAGGAAAAAACCGTATTAAGATGTTTCAGTCCCATTTCGTACCACTTTTAAAAAAACAAACCACCTCTTCTATCCGCTCCCCGTTAAGCCCCACCCTGCTTAGCGAGGCCTAAACACCCGGCCCCCGCCCCCCACCCAGGAGCGCGGGCCTCGTGGTCAGCCCATCCGCCGGGAGAAACAAAGGCCGCGGCCCCGGGGCTCAAGGGCACTGCACCACCGGGCCCGCGTTGTTCCCCACCCGGCGGTAGCCACGTAACGGAGCGCCCGCCGCAGCCTCGGAACAGCGGACCGCGCTGATGCGGGAGAACGCACCGCCCTCACTGGAGGCCCAAGTCGCCGACCGAGGCCGTGAGGGGGAGGAGGGCCCCTCATCTTGATCGCGGATGGGGGAGGGGAAAAGGAAATGCGCTTTGTCTAGAAATAAGGCGGCTGTCGCCACGGCTCTCTACCCTCTCGAGGACAGTCTCGTTCTCCCCCTCCCCCACAACTAACTCCAGGCGCCGGCCCAGCGCCAGGCCAGCCGCGGGGTCTCCGCTCGACTCTCCGCTGCTTCCCGCCAGCTCCCCACTCGGGGTCGGGCGGGGAAGGGCGGGAAGCAGAGAACTGGGTGGGGGGATCCCTGGGGTGCAGGTGGTATTTTAAGCACCACCACCGAGTAGACAGAGAGAGAAAGAAAGACACCGACTTCACCGCCTCCGAGCTGCTCCGGGTCCCGGGTCTGCGGCGTCTCCGGCCCTGCGCGCCTCAAGCTCCAGCCACATCCGAGGAGGAGGGGGCTGGGGAGCTGCGCGCCGGGCAGCCGCTCGAGGGGGGTGGGGGGGGTGGCACCGCCCACGCCGGGCGGCCGCGAGGGGCGGGGCGGGCGGGCGCGCGCGCCCGGCGGGGGGAGGGGCCGATTGCCGCGCCCGCCGGAACCCGAGCCCGGGGCAGGTGGAAGGCTGCGTCGGCACTGCACTTACCGTTCGCGGCGTGGCGCCTGGTGGTCCCCGGAGGGGAGGGAGAGGGAAGTTGAGGCGAGGACAGTAACTGATCTTCTAGACGGAGGCGTTTCTGCTTCGCAGCAGCCGCGTCTGGCGCCAAAACCCGGCTCCGCCCACTTCCTCGCCCCTAGAAGTGGGTGCCTCCAAACGCTAGGGGTGAGGGAGTGAAGAGAAACTTGCATGGGGAGAATTGGGAGCTAAGGAGTGCCCCTCTGAGACCACCCTCTCCAAAGACCTCTCTTGAACCCAAGGAGTCGACTCCCAAAGACGTTGGCCAGGGTTAGGTTGGTGGAACGTGAAGTGTAACGTGTCGACTAGAAATCGCTTCGGGTGTTTCCGGAAGGGGCCGAGTCAGTCCTCAGCGCTGGGGGTGGGGAGAATTAGGGGAGGGAAATCGCAAGGGGGAGGTTACAAAGATTATTCTGGCGGGAGCTCGGGGGCGGGGGGAGGCGCGGATTATCACAGGCTTTGCTGCAGGGACCACCTCCCGGGTTGAGGGGGCTGGACTTTAGGGCTGTGCTTTAAGCTCCTCCCGACAGCGTTAATTTCAAACTGCGCGACCGTTTCTCACCTGCCCTGCGCTAAGGCGGGGGCTGGACCCAATTCCGTGAGAGAGAAATACGCAGGACTCGAGCCTTCCGCAATTCACTGAGACCAGTTACGCAAGTGACGTCAAGCACTACTACTGGCTGCGAGGGGAGGGAGGAGTACGTACCTGGCGTAAGGAGGGCGTAGAGCGTTCCCGCCATTGGCGGCGGTTAGGGCGTTTACGCAACGGCTTGACGTAGGGGAAGACGCGTTAGTCGGGGGGAAGGTTCTAGAAAAGCGGCGGCAGCGGCTCTAGCGGCAGTAGCAGCAGCGCCGGGTCCCGTGTGGAGGTGCTCTTAGCGGTGTTGTTTCTCGAGCAGCGGCAGTTCTCACTACAGCGCCAGGACGAGTCCGGTTCGTGTTCGTCCGCGGAGATCTCTCTCATCTCGCTCGGCTGCGGGAAATCGGGCTGAAGCGACTGAGTCCGCGATGGAGGTAACGGGTTTGAAATCAATGAGTTATTGAAAAGGGCATGGCGAGGCCGTTGGCGCCTCGGTGGAAGTCGGCCACCCGCCGCTGTCTGAGAGCGGCGGTGAAATTGGGCCACTTCAAAAGCGGTTGGTCTCAGGATATTTTTGAAGAGGGTTCGTTAGCGGAGGCTTGACTGAACAGTACCTTCCCCACCCTCAGCCTGCCGGCGCCATTTCCCTTTGCTGGGGGGTGGGGGATGGGGAACTTCCACATGGCGGACGCAGCCCTCGTTCGGCGAAAAGTGGGGCGCGGTGGCGGGAATTCTTACTCCCTCTTCAAAGCACGCTGATTTGGGGGCCCTGGCGTCCCCGCTTCTGAGCTTTTCGGCGGGCTTCAGATCCTCCTGAGCGAGGCTGCGGAGTTTCCCCTCCCCCCTCCCCTCTCCCGGGAACCGGATTTGGCGGCCGCCATTTTCATTCCTTTCCTTCCTCGCAGCGTTTTTCTTTTCAATCTCTGGATTCTGTTAGTTTGACTCCTTTATCGAGAATAGAAGTGGTTAACTATTTTTCTTTGTTTTCGGGCTGTTTTCATGCCGTTTCGAGGTGGATTCCGAGTGTTTTGTGAGCTTGGATCTTTTAAAAGTCCTGCGCACCTCGTTAGAGGCTCTTTCCTTTCCCCTCGATGAAATGGCGCCATTGCGTTCAGAAGCCACACCGAGGAGCGGGCGGGTGGGGGAGTCGGTTCCCCGGGGCTGGTTCGCACGGTTTAAGAGGAGGAGGTAAAACTACCACCCCGGGTGTCGGGCCCAGTTTTAAGTCGAGCCATACTAAGAACATTGTTTTTCAGCCTCGTGGGTTTTTTTGAGTAACGGTTTTATCTGGGTTTGCGGTGATTAAAAAGCTAATTGAATCGCGGGAAACTTTAGAAATAAAAATTCGGAGCCATTAAGTTAGTACTGACTGTGGGTGGCAGTGGGGAAGGTGGGGGGGGTGTCGGTTTCACAATTCTTTATTTTCCTGAAGGATTTCTTTTGAACTGGAGAATTCATATTTCAGTATTTTTGCTGGGAAACAGTCTTTACTGGGTAACACCCGAGGTTCTTGCGGTACGGTAGAAATTAAGAGGAAAGTGAGAAATGATTTTATCTTTAGCTCTTTGGTTAAAACGTGGTGCAGTGCTTCGTTACGAGTAACGGCTGGGCCACTATGTGTTTGAACTTTGTCATTTGCTTTTCTCATCTCTGTTTGCTATGATGGTTGATCATTACATTGATAAGAATAAGGTCTCAAGCGAAGGGGGCCTGATTGGGTACTTTCTTTGACCTTAAGCACACTTATAAAATAACTTTGTTTGTAATCGATAGTGGACATCGGGTAAGTTTGGAAAAAAATTGAGGTAAGTAATGAGTTTTTGCCTTTTGTTAGCGATGTGTAAAAATTACTGTAAATGTTTTTTTAACTGCGTAATGTGGATTGTAAGAGACCGACTTAACGCTAATTACATAAATTAGCTTAATTTAAATACCAATATGTCAAGTAATCGTTATTTGAGTTATTTGAATGTTTTAGGAGCTTGATAGTTTTTTGACCTTTGAAAATTTTTCACAATTCTGAGAACTGTGCAGGGAAAAAAATCTAAATGCTTACTGTTTTTTGAGCTGTTCGGAAATTTCATGCATGGAGGAAAAAACCTCCATAGAACTGAGTTAGAGAGCTGTAATATTATTTGCTTATGAAGTATTTTCTGTTGTATGGAAAATTATATTTGAGCTTTGATTTGTATTAAACACGTAATAGTTGCTCCTGGACGTTATGACCGATTCTGGTTTCTGAATATTTTAATTTTTTTTTAACTTAGTTCTCTGAAAACAAAGTATAACCTGTTTTTTTCTTAACCGACAGCCGAAAACACAGGGCTGTTAATGCACCATACTTGTTTGGTGGTTTTATAGGGCTTAAAATTTTTCAGCCCATGTCCTCCCCCCCCCCCCCCCCGTAAAATTAGAGACATTTGCGTTGTGTATTTTGCCCGGTGGCTGTTAAGGCCAGCACACCTGAGTTTTTGTGGGTGGTTTTTTTCCTTCGATGAAGTGTAAATTGTAGTAGTACAAAACTACTGAGTAGTCAACAGTGATCACTTAAAAGTTTTATGGTTTTTGAAAAGTGAGATTATAGCAAATATTTTACTGCATTTGTGGTTCAGTAATAATTCAGATTGTTCTGTGTTCTGTAAATACCAAATATAAGTGTGCCCTCAAAAAACCAGGTATGTTAAAAACTGTTGAAGCTCTAGACACCCACCGTTGGTCATAAAAGCCATTTGTGCCTTGGTCAAAGGAAAGAGGCAGATTTTATAAGGATATTTTGGTATTATACATTGAATGTTTGAAGTCCTGTCCCGCCCCGCCCCCCCCCCATGGGGAGTTGCTGTATGGGGAAAGAATGATTTTTTCTTAGTGGGTTTTTTTTTTTAAATTGAGATACATTAGAATCACCACCAGAGGGAGCAGTAAAGGGAAAAGAAATGTCACTGTTTTGGACACTGAATCCTGAAATGGTAAATCATGGGTTATAAGTAAAGAAGTAACAGTTTTTATGTTAAAAAGCGGTGTATTTACAATGCATACTTAAAAGCCAATTACTTTGTTTTGGGCAAAGGATTGAATGCAGATTTTGACAAAAGTCCTTTAAGGGTTCAAGGACCAAAGAATAGGTTTGATTTCTTTCTCTTCATAAAGTTTTAAGATAAAGGGATGTTAAATTTATTCAAAATAATTTAATGTCAAGTAAATTTAGATCAAGCTTTAATGACTTTGAAACTTGTGTAGATCAGCTGGGGCAATTTTTTTTGGTGTAACACAACTAATATGCAGTTTAACATATGGTTTAAATTTGATGTAAGTTTTTTTTTTCCCCCCAGAAAACTTTAGAAACTGTTCCTTTGGAGAGGAAAAAGGTACTCTGCCAGCAGGTCACCTCATATTTAAGAATTTAATTTCCTGCATACAAAGAGGAAATGTAAATAAAAATTGAAATGGTGTTTTCCTTTGCAGAGAGAAAAGGAACAGTTCCGTAAACTCTTTATTGGTGGCTTGAGCTTCGAAACCACAGAAGAAAGTTTGAGGAACTACTACGAGCAATGGGGAAAACTTACAGACTGTGTGGTATGTTACATAAAAGTGCCTACAGATAACTAGTCTTTCAACTCTTGGACTACTGTGTTTAAGATGTTGAGTAAAATGTGGAGAAAATTATTTTAATGTCTGTGTTCATTGTGAGAACTGCTAGTCTTTTAAATTGCTAGTTCATAACATAAGTAATGAAATGGGCTAAAGTTTCCCCTTTGGTTTTAAGGTTATGAGGGATCCTGCAAGCAAAAGATCAAGAGGATTTGGTTTTGTAACTTTTTCATCCATGGCTGAGGTTGATGCTGCCATGGCTGCAAGACCTCATTCAATTGATGGGAGAGTGGTTGAGCCAAAACGTGCTGTTGCAAGAGAGGTGAGCAAATATAACTGTACAGTAAATATGAAGAATATTTTGTCCCACTGAAGATTAGACTAACGTTTGAAAGAATTGTTTATCTTTTTAAAGCTGTTAGGTTTTTTTTTTTTTTATTTAGATTTTTTTTTTTTTTTTTTCCAAAAACTGGGTTCTTAGTCGTAAGCTGATGCTTTACGTGATGTATTATAGGATAAAAGCTATCTTTGGTATTCAGATAGTGTGCTTTAAATCGTGTTTTGGTTTCTTCTGTTAAGATATTTTTTCTCCCATTATTTCAGGAATCTGGAAAACCAGGGGCTCACGTAACTGTGAAGAAGCTGT